TTTTTTGAGTGTTCTGTCCACAAATTTTCCCTTTTGATTTATATCATACACACTCAATAACATCTTTATCTCTATTCTTTATAAATCAAAAAGGAAAATTTGTGGACAGAACACAGAACACACAGAACACTCAAAAAATGGAGGCAAACCTGAATGCTGGGTCTTCTAATTGAAACCACAAATGTGGTTTATATATTTTTGAATGATGCAACTTTTTTTTTTCAGTATTTCAATATTAATGTCACAAAAAGTATTTGAAGCTTTATAACTTCTATTTAATTATCTGCGAGCGCTTTCAACAGCTGGTCGTGCTATCATCATCTAGGCTCTACTCAAATTCTAGTTTGAGCTGGAATCATATTTGTTTGATCGTGATACTCAGACGGTTCATAGCGTTCTGAAGAAACCATGCCCGGTACTGATGATGGGGCAAATACCCTGAAACCGGTCTATCGGTTGGTCATTGAGTCAAGAAAATAATGCTGGTTTGGGATCACTTACAGTTTTCGAATTGATTATACTCCACTGATGGTATTCATTAACTATCAAGCAAATTAGATGTAAGGCAGTTATTTTTGAACACGAAAAAAGCGGACGAGAGAAATACTCAATTTGGAACTACAATAAAAACATTGAATACCAAAAGTTTTCAATGTAGTATTTATTGAACTAAAAATGGTCAATGGATTTTGGGTCAACCGTGATTATTTGCTCGTCGTCTGATAGACGTAAAAATTATATTAATGACCTTTTTTAGATAGTTATTACAGTTCTACAGTTTTTCCTACCTTTAATTATTTTATGAACCTTCTATTCCGATACAATTACTCGTATAAGTGTGTATACCTCATTAACTATGTTAGTAATTATAACTATAATTATGAATATTAATATTGTGAACTTCCTCAAGACAAGCAGGTGGTTTTGTGGATTCGATGTTTATTCATCACATTTATTTTTGTAGTATAATCCGTTCTCTTGTTTGTTTATAAATGAATGAATAAGTATTATAATCTTGCAATACGGGACTTGCAATACGGAGGTCTTTCAAGGTTAACTCCTCCTTTTGATGGTAGAATAGGAAGTGATAATGAATGATTTTTCAGGTTGCTTCTTTCCATATCACGGTGAGCCACGTGTACTTGACTGCCGGTCCACGTTTGAAACTGAACTATAATATTCATATAAAACACAACTCTTTTAATGTAAAAATTGTATAATTTGAGATAGTCCCAACAACAAAAACGAATAAACATATTGAAAATCAACCAATATCAAAAAACAAATCAACTCGATTCTTTGGCATGAGCCAAAACAGCTCTAGAGATGATCAGCCTCTGTATCTGCGATGTGCCCTCGTAGATCTGCAAGATCTTGGCATCCCTCATCAGCTTCTCCACAGGGTAGTCCTTGTTGTATCCGCTTCCGCCGAATATCTGTACAGCGTCCGAGGCGCATTTGTTGGCTATCTCGGAGCCGTAAGCTTTGGCGATGGACGCCATATAGGAAGGGTTCTTCTTTCCACTGTCGACCTCCCAAGCNTAGGCCCATGAAAAGCTTCTACGTAATTGGAATTGGATAGCACTACAGTATCACAAAGTGAAATTTTAAGCTTTGACGGTAGACAATGCCGAATTCCATATCACACATATGAAAGAATATGTTTTTGGTAATAATTCATTGAATCGTCTATTAAAATCCTAAAACGCTCAAACTTCCACTTCTTTAACGGATTCTATGGTTTCATTACTCACAACTATATTCATAGAATTAAGATCATCATCGCGCTTAGTTTTTGGCCAAAAAATAGCTTCTGAATTGTCTATTAGTCTGTAGAATTCTTGATAAATATATTCACTTGTTTATTAATTGTATTACAAGTAGTATCAGTTTCTGTATTTGGAAAAGAGAAATGAATTTGAATGTCATCTGCTTGACAATGAAAATTACACTTTGAAGACTTTCGAGGAGATTGCAGGTGTATACAGCAAACAATAGTGGTCCAAGAATTGTTCCTTGAGGGACTACCGACTTCAGATATGGAAAATTGTATTTTGTGTCGTCAATTTCGACACTTCGAGATCGATCCTTGAGGTAATTTTTGAATAACTTTTCAGTGCCAGGTTCAAATAGTTCAAAATAGGTCATACTAGAATAATGGAGTGTTTTCAGGTTTTTAACAATAATAAAACGGTAATATTAGTCAATGTTGTGTTGAAGAAGGGGCAATTATAGCAGCGTTGATCTGTATTCTGTTTAGTATAGCAGTCCCAAACATGATTTGGAAACAATTCTGTTCTATGTGAAAGAGCAAAAATACATTTGGTTCAGGAAAGTATACTCACTGGGGCTCTGGTTTTGTCAAAAACACCCATTGCGATCTTGAAACCCGCACCTTCACCGATCAAAACATTCTCTTTCGGTACTCTAACATCTTCGAAGGTTATTCCACGAGTGTCTGAAGCCCTTTGACCCATCATGTTTTCCTGAAAATCTGTTCATGATCAATCTTTTATTTTATCCAAAGGTTCCTCTCTCGTTTTCTTGATACCTTCTTCCTCAGTCGGCATTTTATTTCGTTTTTCCCCTCCTCTTCACGCTTCTCGTTTTTCTTCGTTTTTGTTCGTTTCTTCATCTTCTTTAAACTTCCTCGATAACGATTAAGTTAAAGTACCCTTTTCATATTTTCTTGATCTTCTCGGTTCATATTTTTATATTCTATTACTTCGTTTTTGTTCGTCATTCCTCTTCCATTTCATGATTTTATTTGTTCACAAAACCTTCTTGAATTATACTTGTTACTCGAATGATAATAATAATAACAAAGCGACTTTCTGCATCATTTTGCCATGAATTCAAATACAAATATGATGAAAATGAGAATTATCAGCAATTTCTCTGTTCCATCTCACCTCATCTCACCTCGCTTTTTTCTCGTGAATTTGAATTCGAATAGTTTTGTTTTTCAGACACCCGAGACTTTCTTTATTTTTCATTTTATGGTTTTCACACATTTCTAATCACACCACTCTGTGAATTTTTGGCTCTCTTGAGTGGGAATCTGTTTGGGTGGTTTTAAAATATGTTTTTCGTTAACCAACTTGTCTTGTTCTTACGAATGATTAAACTCGTAATCCGTGAGATGATTTTGGCGAACTAAGGATCGAAGAGGTCTTATATTTTAACGTGCAAAACCTAGCACTGGTAACACTGGCGAATGCACGGATCATAGTGGCCCAGCAAGTCACAGAGCAGGGATCGAACTTGCGTTCAACAGAGCGATGATTTCAAGGGTGGGACTAACTGAGCAACTGCTAGCTTGATGAAATTACCATTATGGTGCGACAACCTGACGTGATATTTTTCGTAATTCGGACAATTATAATTTCATTTGAGGGAAAGATAAAACTGGTAGAAAGAAGTGATTCTTCTGGGAAGTATTTGAGTTTCTGTATGAGCAAAACAAAAAAACTTCCCTTAGAGAGTGCTATTATTTTGAATTTGGTGATATAATTTGCTACATGAAGAACTTTGAACTGGATGATCTCCAGTCTACAATATCAACATTATTTCGTGAGACTAAACCAAATCATTGCACCTTTATTGAAATTAGTTATTACCAGTTAGCTACTCCTCCATTGGTGATCCACATTTTTTGACCATTCAGGATGTATTCGTCCCCTTTTTTCTCTGCTTTCGTCCTGACTCCATTGACATCTGAACCTGCTCCTGGTTCGGTGACAGCATACGCCTACAACACAAATAATAATAAAGTGAAGGACAAGTTGACATCTGTCGCAGAGAGAGTAGCGAAGCAAATGGAAACTTTCATTAGGATATTCTAGATAAAATGCTAATGTGTGGTTCCAACCACCACTACTACCATCATTATGATCTTTTAAATAACCATAACACGGCCATGGTTTATTTTGTTCGGATTATTTCTCTCAACGATAAAATAGTTAAAAGTTACGTGCATAGCCAAGAGTCTACTAGCAGGTAACCTAGCTGAGCGCTGTGAGCCTGGATGAAGTATATTTTCCAGATTCTTTACATAGCTCTATCTAAGCTTGGTGTAACGCGCAGATGGCAACAACCATTGTCTTCTACCATCTGTCGTCAGTCATCAACATAAAGGCAAGCTTTGTACACAGTGATTACAAATGGTGTTTGTGTTATGGTAGTAATTACTCATTTCGAGACAAAATCAATGGATGTTGTGGGCCAAATGGGCATACCCATTTTAACAAATGGGTATGCCCTCTTGAGCAAAATTTGAAAATTGTGGACGAGCACACATTTGAACTGAATGAACCTGGTGAACTTGAGCTAAGACTCTTGATAAAAATTGGGAAAACTCTTCGAAACTTATTCTTGGTAATTTGTAGGGAATGCTCTTTCTGGTTGAAGTTCTAAAAGTGATTGAAATGATAAACACAACTTTTTTGATGAATGAATGAATAATGGAAGAAAAATGTTGCCTGATTGCGGCCAAAATCTTTTCACACGAATTGTTTTTCCCAAACGGAATCAAGACCATCTCATAGAAATATGTTCAACATGATCATTGATAATATTATGAGTCATGACTATATGAAAGGAGTTTTTTCCGGTCTTAATATGAAAATTGAATTTTTCTGCTATGGAAATGTGATAGAGATCCCAAAAACTTCAATGTTGTGGATTTCCTCCTAGAAACTGATTTAACTATTTAACTGATACAAATTATCTGCGAGCTGTAGTAGAGTANAAAAATAATCTGGGATTTTTTGGTTTTTCCTGTATATCTCCAGAACCAAAAGAGCTATATTCGATTTTTTCCATCTATCTCTTATCGTTGCCGAGAATCCCATGTACATAAACGAATTTGAATAGGCCTGTATAACACTGGCAGTTATTTAATTTTCCAATGTTTTAGTTAGCAAAAAATAGAAATATTTTGGAATTCATTTTGAACCAAATTCATTACTAGAGTACTTACCGCAACGATGGGTTCCTCCAAAAGCCTACCAAGATATTTCTTCTGCTGTTCTTTGTTTCCTGCTAAAACTACTGGGACTTGCTGAAAAAAGAATGATTTTGTGTTGGTCGAATTGTGAACAGTAAAATTTACTCCGAACTCTACCTTTATTATAGTCTACTCACCCCTAATCCGCTGCCCATTATCGCAAGGGTGATTCCGCTGCAGCCCCATGATAAAGCTTCTTGAACGAGACACTCGGTGAATACGCTTTGGTTCATACCACCTGAAAATAGGTTGTTCTTATGGATCTGAATTTTCAAACTGAGTGATACAGTAACCACTCCACACATTTTATCACCAACGAATACAAATGCGGTCCATGAAGTCTGCATCAAATGAGAATTTTTTTTATTCAAAATTTTACTCTTGCATCAGTTTCTGGCTTCAAATGAGATGAAAAAAAAAAGAAACTAGTGTAAGTATCTGCCAAATTTGGTATCTCTTCCAAAAACAAAATAATCAAAGAATGCGCCTATTTCTAGATATACAAAAAACAAGTTGTTAGAAAAAGTTTTTCTGAATCCATTTTCTGAATTTTTTGTAAATTGCACCACTGTTGCAGAACAAGACTCAACACAACATCTTATTTTTGATACTATTTCATCTAGACACATTGTCTTTAAAGTAGCTCAATAGTAAATTTATGTATTCCTGCAAAATCCAAATAGGGCTAGTAAAATTTGGTTACAAGTGAAGTAAAGTTCATTCATTTTTGGCCCTGTATGGATGAATTTATAAAATGTCTCTTTTAAAAAGATAGTTTATGATGTCATCGAATTTCCTCTAGAAGGATTGGATATGGACAATTTTGCAGGAGAAAATGTGGCTACTTGTTATAATCTATATGCACATTGAATACACAATGGGACTACTAACACAGGACATTATACAGCATACTGCAGACACCCGTATACTAGCGCGTGGCACAAATACAACGATTCACACGTGTCACCAATTTCACCAAAGTCGCTTGTGAGTGGAGAAGCATACGTCCTCTTTTATGTAAAGGATGGAACAAAATCGCGCCTTTAAGATAACCGAGGGAAAGTTTTACTAATATTATTTTTCAGTGGTAGTTTTTCAGTTACTTATTCTTACAATCATAGCAATTGATCACCCCATGAAAAAGTTATCTCAACTGAACTTTTCCACCATGGGTAATTATGAATAACTTCGAAATTTAAGGTATATAGTTTGAAACTTACGTCAGTCTTTATAGATAATTCATTATGACAATTTTAAAAATCGATTCTCAAGTTACAATTATTTTTCAGGTTATTTTTTAATTCAATCGAGACAGTTCCTACGTTGATACCAAAACAAGAATTAATATATAAAATCCCTTTGCAGAATTATATTCCCTGGATATCTCAATTCAGCTTCAATATTTTACCTAAATATTCTGGAATGGACCCGTTCATCAATCCAATGGACCAAGCTTTCTTCACAAGTTCATCTGGCCGGGTTCCTGTTTCATCGTAGTGTGCCGCGACAGGAATTATTTCTTCTCTTGCGAATTTTTTCGCTGTCTCGAAGATCTCACGCTGGGTTTCATTGAGCTCTGAAAAAAATAATGCCACTTTCGATTATGAGTTTCGCACGAGATCAAATTTTTGAGGAGGATGAAGCAGGTCGGTTTGGACAGTGTGAGATCAAATGTCTTGAGGATGGCGAATCAGGTCGGCACCTTCAAGATCAGAAAGCCTGCGATTTGTACACTGTGAGATTAAATGTCTTGAGGATGGTGATCAGGTCGGCACCTTCGAAATCGAAAAGCACGTGGTTTGGACACCGCGAGATTAAATGTCTTGAGGATGGTGTAGCCGGTCGGCACCTGCAAGATCAGAGAGCCTGCGGTTTGGATACTGTGAGATCAAATTTCTTGAGGAGGGTGAAGCAAGTCGGCACCTGCAAGATGAAAAAGCCCGCGGTTTGGACACCACGAGATCAAATTTTTGAGGTGGATGAAGCAGGTCTGCACCTGCAAGATCAGAAAGCCTGCGGTTTGGACACTGTGAGATCAAATATCTTGAGGATGGTGAAGCAGGTCGGCACCTGCAAGATCAGAAAGCCTGCGGTTTGGACACTGTGAGATCAAATGTCTTGAGGATGGTGAATCAGGTCGGCACCTTCGAAATCGAAAAGCACGCGGTTTGGACACCGCGAGATTAAATGTCTTGAGGATGGTGAAGCAGGTCGGCACCTGCAAGATCAATCTCCGGACTAATGCAATTACGGAAAAACTGTAATAGAGTACTTTGTTAATCTCTTCAACAGCAATCAAAAATGAGTTTTCAAATATCTTTATTTTTGAATTCCAATTTGCCTCCTGTCGCTAAAAATTTTCCAAGTCGATAAAATTTTCCAGAAAACATTTTGTGGCATTTATTCCCAAATCATGCATTTTACGAAATAAACACAAGACATTTTCTGTGACATTTGTTGGGGGGAATATTAATGGTTCGAAGACAACTTTGGATATTCTCGATTTAGAAAGTTCATTTGATTTCAGGAACGTGAAAACCCATAAATGTCAAGAATATCTACTCCAATACCTTGATATACCTAAGTACTTGTTTTTCTTATTCCCATTATTTATCTTATACCATAATAACTAAATAAAATTGACCTATGTTCTTTATGTTTCTAAATAAACAAACAACAGTTTAAATTACGGCCTCGGTTTTGAAGTTTGTAGATATACCTACTGAGATAACTCGTTAAAATAAAAATATATTCTCATATTTCATCTGAATCACTATCCGATTTTAATTCTTTTGCCCATAAAAAGAAAGCTACATTATCAAAATTATCAGCGATAAAAATGAGTTGTATTGAGGTTAAGAGACAAACATTGCCTATAAAGTCATCATTTTTCCGCGTGGATGTGGGAATATGAGATATTAGTTTGGGATATACCGGGTGGAACCAAAAATTGTTTTATCTCTTTTACTATTGGAATATATTGAATTAGGAAATCGAAATTTACGAAAATCAGTTTTGAAATATTCAGGAAAATTCATGGGAATTCATAATGATTTGAAGAAATGAAAAGTCACTGAATTGAAAAGCGTTTTAAGATGTAAATATATCATTTTATGCGTTGATGTTTTTATTTGAATCAATGAGGTTTTTTCCTCGAAAGTTCTCAGAAGCAGTTCCATTTTGGAATTTACTTCAAACATTTCTGGTTTTTTATATTACTTCAAGGCAGAAAATTTTTTGAGAAAAAAAAAGAATTAATGTTGTTTCAACAACGAATTTATGATTCAATACCAGAGAGCGCTGTTTTGACCCGCCGTAGGTCTCATCAGTGGTGCTAGGCCGAACCACAAATGCATGCTATCGATTCAGGAATCGAAAGAAAACTATATTCTAAGCAGAAACGTTCTTATAGTTTCAATCAGGTTTCAACTCCAAAACTTTACATTTTATCTAAAAAACTGTGAAGGAATAACATGTAGCTAATAAAAAACAGAGAGGTTGCTTTTTTGCTATAGTCCAATACTAACCGAGTTTTGACTTATTGAAGGCGAAAATTATGTTTTGAACCATTTTGGAAGTTCAACATACTATAACAGAAAAACAGTATGGATATAAAGTACCTCTTTCAGAGAACTCGGAAAAAATATCAAACTGAGACTTTGTGGAACTCTCGAGAATAAAGTCGATCCCCATTTTCATAGTGAATAAACAATAACAATGTTATCCTTGCTATAACAACCCTAATTGCTTTGAAAGTTGTTCATTTACATGCATGACCAGATCAAGAGTCCAACATCCCTGTAAGCCTCTTTTTTAACTTATCACAGTCTATTGCCTCTTCATTTCAGAAACAGTCTGACTAATACAGTAACAGCACAAACATAATATCTAAAACTCAACGCAAAGTTATGCTACTTTTGACGAAAACTAATACTAATACGGGTTACATTAAGAAGTTGTGCCACCCTGTATTCAATCCTCATAGGGACAAGCTCATTACACATTACAAGTATTTGTAATGTGTAATGAGCCTTATCATTTGAGCGTCAACTTCAAAGAGATTGAAGGACATACATACCTGATACTTTTCAAACTTACCGAAATGGTATCCATTTGCTGGGATTTCGCTCGAATTTGACGCAACGGCATTCGTGGTAGAAATGCTTCTCACAGTAGTTCGAACAGCTGACCTACAAAACTAAATCACACTCATCAAAACATAATAATTACTTTGTGGGATCGTTCGTCACCTGTTTCAGAGGTATCATGGCGATGTTTGTCACTACGTTTTTACTTCGTTTAGCATCTAATACTTAGTGAGCCAGTTCATAAACGGTAAACAAAATAGCAATCACGTCGAAATATTGAGATAACGTTAACAACGGTGGGGAACGACATGCCAGAGGTTAAAATGGATACGTGTCTCCGGACGGTATGATCGGTCGAACAAAGTTCATCATTTGAACGCGAATTTCAATCCATACAGGGCGAGTCTATAATGTTGGATACCTTCCTTGAACAAAAGAGCCTATTTTGACTGCTTTGTCACGGTGATTGAAAGAATACAGTGTTTTCATAATTTATGTCTAAAATTTAGGACTATTTTTTGAGCGCATAGAGAGATAGATAGATAGATTTTAAATTGAATCTAAAGAAATGAACTTCAAATGTTCAAGTCCGTTTCGGATATACCTACACAGTGGGTTGAATGGAAACAACTACTCCACTGGCTAATACCACGAACAGCGTTGGATTATATCCGACAGCCGTCAGTGCAGGAATTTTCACAGGAAATTTCCTGCATATGCAACTGGCAATACAACTGAAAGAGGCGACCTTAAATTTTGGAACGGGCACTCTTGGAGACCAGTTTCGGGCTCCTTAGCCACTGGTCCCTGCAATATAGTGATCATCATCGACCTAAAGTCAATGATATTCCATAATTGAAAATCGAAATTCTTTCAGAGTATTTCATTCCTCGTCCTAAGTTGGAGCGAACACCAAAAATGTCACTCCATCTAGTGGACGAGGTACTAACTAACTGCATGTCCAAAATTTGCCCGATTCCTCTGAATAAGCAAGAAAAACTTTCTTAATAGTCAGTGGGCTATGCTTGAAAACAGGCAATAAACAAATCTAAAGAAATGAACTTCAAATGTTCAAGCCAGTCTCGGATATACCTACACAGAAGGTTGAATGGACTGACGTCGTCAGTCCATGCAACTGTCTGTAATAAAATGAAAGACATTATTCCCAATTTCCAAAAAAGTGGTTGAAAGTATGCATCGAATGGAGCTCCAACTATAATTCTGATGGCTTGTTTCTGTATGCGAAAAGCTCTGATTGCGTAAGTAAATCTACCCCAAAGGAGCATCCGATATGAAAGGTGATAGTGAAAAAGGGAATGACACGAATTGAGACGTGTTTTATAGTTCAATGCTTTTTTCAATTGGCGAAGTAGAAACAACTGTGTCGAAAGTTTTTTACAGAGATGGTCAATATTTGATTCCCATCGAAGCGAATCATCTATAATTATACCTAATAATTTGACTTGAGCTTTGGTTGTTACCCTGTTATTAGAAGATATAGTGATTTTCTGAGTTTTTTTCTTGTTAATGTTCAGTAAATTTGAGATATAAGAATTTGATTGTAAGATTGTGGTGTCGTCGGTAAAGCATATTACTGTACTGGGTAGAAGGTAATAGAATATATGATTTATATAGATTACAAAAAGGGATGGACCCAAGATGGATCCCTGAGGTATTCCATGATGCAAAGATTTTTCATCTGATAAATCACCATTAACGTATACGCCCGCTTTCTAGATAAGAGATAAGACTGGAACAATTTCAAATCTGATCCTCTGATACCATAAAATTCAAGTTTTTCTAGTAGTAAATGATGGTTTACACAGTCAACATCTTTGCTCAGATCCCACAATGTTAGAACAGTGTGGTCTCCAATCTCCACGTTTCCAATCACCTATTGGATGACTTCAAGTACTTCGTCGGTGGTGGACCTATTTCTGACAAATCCAAATGTATGTTCATGTAGTAATATCAGAGACTCTAGAAGCAACATCAGAACAATTCGAAACAGTGCAAGGCACTATATTTGGTTTAATTTTATTTTATTCAGAACGATCTGAACAGATCTGAACGATCTGGAGAGATATTCACGTAAGCAGACGATAGATGCAGCTATTATTTTCGATTCTTCCTGGACCTCTCTGAAATCCGAGGTGAAAACAAATTTCCAGAATCTTCAAACCTCGTTTTCACACGAACATAACATGGATTTTTGAGTTATCATAACTATGTGAATTCAATGTGAATCGCTACTTTCACACAGGCACTTTTGTGTTTTGTTCTTAACAAAAAAAAAATAATAAAAAGAAGCAATAGAAATCCAAAAATACAGGAATAATTTCAATAGAAAAGAAGAGGTAATGAACATGAATGAAGTCGATTGCAAAATGTTTTCTCAGTCAAGCAAATGTAGTCTATGCAGTCTAAGTCAGTCAATCTTCCGCTACTCAAATCGATACTGGTCTACCTCAGGGTTCGATCTTGGATCCGGTGTCCTTTTATACATGACTGAAATCAGCAATTTCTTTTCTAACATGGAAATGACCCTCGAAGCTGAAAAATTTTTCTGATTATATTCTACAAAGAGCCTGTTATATCATCAAAAAAGCTGTGGATATCTAGTGTGTATTTCTTGATTTATAAATCAAATGGAAACATCACCAGTTTTCATCATTTCATAGAAAAAATTGGTATCTTCAGATGATATGGTGCTGCAGGTTTTTTCGGGTTTTCCTGCAGCTGAAAAAGCAAATGTGCCACTAGTCAATTAATTTTAATTATTGTTTTATAATTTCATGATTGATATTTTGGAAGTGTTATTCCTGAGAAAATATTTTTACGTCATAATTTGTTTCCATGGATTACTTCATGATTAAAATCATGTGATAAACAAAAACTTGTTAGTCGTGTCCAACAAACTTGGAAAAACTTTGATCTAAATGTATGATGAGTTTGTAAGAAAAATAGCAGTGGTGATTTTATTTCCATGTTCAATGAGAGTTTCAGAATTGTAAATGTCATGATAATTGAAACATTTCCAATGTTAAACTCCTTATTTAGGTACCGATTTATCAGTCAACTCTGACAATCCGTTGCAAACGGTTGTAGTTTTCTGCTAATGAATTCCATAAGTGATAAAAATTTATAAAAAGTGTAATAAGTTCTTATCTACACCTTATATCGGTGAGGCCTGTTGCATTTTTTTCTTAGATTAGTAAAAGTGGTACCATTGTCTTCAAAGTAACACACAAAACACAAGAAAAATAATCACAAAACTCCTAATTGAAGACAAGAATGTTGTTACCATATATCAAATAATATACAGGAATTTATCGATACATCATGCTAAATATAAAGCAGAGTACTAAGGAGCCCTAAGAGGGTTTACAATAGGATTATTTATATCTAGTTGAAACTTTCATTTCATTCTATTCGAAAGATACCCTCTCATCATTTATCTATTTATAATTATAAGAGTATCATGATAGGCTGATAAATATTAGCAAATCTTCAGCTAAGGTATGTTCATACAGAAGTGCCACAACTAGAATAAGTTCACAAATGAATCAATTTGATTGTCCCCCGATTGAAATAGCTGTTTATTTTCAAAATGAAAATTTATTTCCACATATACCTACACACACATCAAATATCTGCGAATAATTTTGGAATACTTTTCATTGTCATGCATAATTTTCCCAGACTATCAAAACGGGATGACACCCATCTCGGTCCTAACCGTGGGAACTTAGAAGAAGAAGAACTTTGTTTCCAGATAGGCAAGCCTAATATAAATATAATTAATGTACTTCATCTAAATATAATACATAAAAATCAAAATAAATTAGTCTATTATAACCAAATAACAGAAAATCCCAAAAAAAAGAAAAAAACACATTCGAAGTTTTGTTCCTTCTGGCGATGTGTTTGTCCTCAACCCAGGCGGACTACTGGATGAACCGAGCTGCTATGCTGAAGAAAGATGCACATCTTGCAATGGGGGCATCCCTGAAACTGAATGAGAAAGAGAGAGAAGTGAACGAGCTGTTGAAGACGTACAAGTACCAAGAATACGACACTGGATTCGCTCATCCTGAAAATTTTCTGGCTGCCCAGCACTTTTTCCAAGCAAAAGAAGGCATTGAGCAGTCCAAAGTATTCAACTTGATCAAAAAACTACCCAAGGGAGCTTCGTTGCATTCTCACGACTTGGCGCTGGTGTCAAACGAGTTTCTCTTCAATCTGACCTACAGAGACAACCTGTACGCTTGCTTATCAGACGAAAAATTAAAACTACACTTCTTCGACAACAAAAACATCGGCGTAGATTGCAACTGGACTCGGGTCAACGAGCTGAGGAGGCTGGACCCCAACTTCAACAACTACCTGCGATCTAAACTCAGTCTTGTGAGGGACGATCCTGCAAAGTCCTATCCTGACTTGAACACTGTCTGGCAATCTTTCATGGATATCGTCGGGGCCATCGAGAACCTGGTGGCGTTCAAACCCGTCTGGCAGGAATACTTCTACCAGGTGCTCAAGGAACTTTATGAGGATAACGTTATGTATTTGGAATTTCGCGCGTATCTCCCGAAGGTGTACGATTTGAACGGTAGGATTTATGATGCTGTGGAGGTAGTGGGGCTGTACTACGATACTATGAAGAAGTTTCAAGAGGATTATCCGGATTTTCTTGGGGCTAAGATGATATACGCGCCAAAGAGACGGGTGAACAATAATACTCTGGCTAGTTATGTTTATACGTTCAGGAAACTGAAGAGGAAGTATGCGGATTTTGTAGCTGGATTCGACTTGGTGGGGCAGGAGGATAAGGGTAAGCTTTGGTTTTCTCACTATTTCAAAAAACATGGAATGTTCAGCGATAAACTGAAAAATAATAATTTATAGATTTGAAAATATAAAACGTGATGAATGATATGAACAAGTGAATATGAGGAAGGTTTCTCATACTGATTTTAGATCATTACTTTCAATAATGAATGATCATACACAGATGAGTTTCAGATAGTCAGTACATTTTTTGAAACCTTTCTTACGATGTTCATATGATATCTATTTGTGAAAGCGACACTTATGCAAATACTCATGAACCAAAACTTCAATCGAACTAAAACAAGCGTTTCAACAACGAAATTAACATTGTTGACACAAATGGTTTGGAACTCTGGCCATTGAAGAAGCCCTCAAGAAGTCCCGGGTATAGTTGAGATACGTTGACGACACCTTCATAATATGGGACCATGGGAACACTGAACTAGATGCCTTCCTGAAGGACATCAATAACGTAAGTCCTTCCAAAATCATGTATTTTTTTTCAGTTATAACTTTTCAGAAATTATATACTGTGAGTTACATTACAACTGAATGAAAACATGTTAAAACTCCACTTGAACCAACAAAAACTCAAATTCGATAGGAACTCAATGAAGAAATTCCATACGGTCCCAGAGGCTGACCCCAACCTGGCCACTGCAACCTCATCCTACTAGGGGAGCGTCATATAGATCGGATCGTATTGCTCCACCAGCAAACGAAGAACTAGCGTTCCTTGGGACTTCAGTACATACTTTTTCTGCACGATATTGACTGAAGAATCATCCTAAACCAGCCAGCAGTTGGAGTCGACGTGTAAGGCATTGGTGACGTAGTGCCTCTTGTTGGCATCTTTTCTTGTACTGCTCCTCTTCTGGAGACTTTGTTTTTGGATTAAACTATCGAATCAATTTTCAAGTCGTGTGCAAACTCCAAGGCCTTGATAATCTTCTTGCAATCGTTGTGGCTTAATTCGAAAAGTTCTCAGACCATTGCTTGCTCCCACGCTCCAACATACTCCTTAGTTTTTGACGAAGTCAGCCTCTCTAATCTTTTTTGGTTTTGTTTACAGCTAGTTCATGAATCAGAAATCTGGTATTTTATTTTCGGGCATGCCTTTGAGTTCATTTGTTCCATAACTAGAAGAAATGAAGCTCAAATACGGAGCGACTTTCTTCTTTCACGCTGGCGGGACCAACTGGTACGGGGAATCCACTGATTTCAACCTTTTCGACGCCATTTCACTGAACACCACCAGAATACGCCACGGTTACGCTCTACTGAAACATCCTCTTGCCATGAAAATGATCAAAGAGAAAAACATAGCTGTGGAGATATGCCCCATTTCCAACCAAGTTCTGAAGCTGATAGATGACATCAGGAACCACCCCGGAGCGATACTCATAGCAAACAATTTCCCTGTGGTGGTGGCTTCGGATGACCCTTCGGTCTGGGGGGCAAAAGGTCTGAGCTATGACTGGTACTATGCCTTCATGGGAATGACCAGCAGGGAGAGCGATCTGAGGTTTCTGCAACAACTGGCCAAGAATTCGATAGAGTTCAGTACATTTGATGAAGAGGTTTATGTTTCTGATATGGAACAAAATGTGGCAGTATTTGTTCATTAAATTTTGGATACCATATTGAATTGTTTTCATCAAAATTTTTCTAAAACAATTAGCAGAACACCATAATTTCTCAACCTCAGTGGATGATATGGAGTGTTTACTGGAAATTTGATGTGTATGTGTCTGACAGAGGAAAACTCTACGCAATGAACCTCATTAAATAAATTATGTCCTTGTTTACTATTCGAAACATTCTTTAGAATCCATACAGGAAGTAACTTCGCAACGTCTGGTATGAGACAATTGTTCGTGTTCATACTTATTATGTCATACTCTGTCATTTCGATAACTGACTCGATGTGCTTCACACAGTCAGTAAGTAATGCACTCAATAATAACCTACAAGTAGATACTGTCTACACAGATTTTTCGAAGGCGTTTGATAAGTTGGATTATAACATTCTTATCAATAAACTTCACCAAAATGGATTCAACTCCCAACTCTTGAACCTTTTCCGCTCATACTTAACTGAACGTATCCTATTCATAGATTATAGAGGTCATAAGTCGTTCCAATTAGCAAACTGTTAGCACTGTTAGCAAACTGTTAGCACTGTTAGCAAACCACCACTTCTTTTATTCTCAATTTTCATTAACGACATAGGAAATAATCTCTCTAGTAATTTCTTACTCTTTGCAGATGTTTTGAAAATCTTTCGGCCCATTACATCAGAGGAGGACTGCTTGATCTTACAAAAAGACTTCGACTTTGTGTATCTTTGGTGTACCAAAAATAATCTTCCCCTCGTTACAAACAAATGTAAATACTCAAAATACACCCTTGAACATAATGTTATTTCTCATGATTACTGCATAAATAACACACCTCTTCAAATAAGCACTCATCAAAGGGATATTGGTGTCACATTTGATCCTAAACTGAGTTTCTCCATACACAATAATATGCTCAGCCAAACGGATGCTAGGGCTCATCTATCGTAACTGTAAGAACTTTCGTAGCAGAGACAGTTTTTTAACTGTTTTCAATGCATACGTCAAATCTCGGCTGGAAGATGCCTCCCTTATATGGTCACCCATATACAATGTTCGCATAAACAAAATCGAGTCCATACAAAGAGGCTTCATGAAATTTATTACTTACAAGTTAGAAGGAGTTTACCCTGAACAAGGCATCGACAACATAATACTATTGAATCAATTTGATCTATTATCCCTTCAAAACCGAAGAACCTAATTTTCATTTATAAACCGAAGAACCTAATTTTCATTTATAAACTAGTGAATAATCTGATTGACTGTCCCGAACTACTCTCCCACTTCAACTTTCATGTTCCACGAATTGATTCTAGAAATGAACTGACTTTCTATCTACAAAATTCTAGAACAAACATATTACTCAAGTCACCAGTTGTTGCAACGAGGAAACTCTACAATCAACTCTGTGAAAATCTTGACATTTTTTATGGACCTATTGGTCAAGTTAAGAACCATGTTAAGAAACTTTTACACTCTAATCAAAATAAATGAGCCTAACTTGAAAGTTACTCTACCATGTGGGCTTATTACTACTACTGTAATACAGCCGAATTATGTTTTTTCAATACACCTGAACTATGTTTTTACTTATTAGCTCTACGTCTGACTTATGTTTTTTTTTCAATTGCTCTCCTAGCTTGCTGCATGTTTAGACAGTAAACATTTTTTTTTATTTCTATATACTTACGAAAGTATTTCATCCAGTATTGATAGCAATGATATATAATGTAGTGTCTCATGCCAGTATCACATGTCATATACCAGTATTCCTTTTGAGTAAAGTTTACTCGCAAACTTCACACGAAATCGCTATTTTGCTCTTCCATAAAAAATCTAGCGGTGTTGAATCAGATAATACTGGCGGACATCAAATATTCCTCTTCCAATCGTTTTACCATGAAATCTACCATTTGTTTCTTGTCTGCAAAGAAATGTTGAAAAAATTTGACAGAGACGTGACTTTAAAAAAAAATTAACAATATAAATGTATGAGAGAAAAATTGCGAGTATTGAAATTACTCTCAAAGTGGTAAACTAAAACTGTGGAAAATATTGACAAGTACAAACTTCTTCTTCTGGTTCTATTCCAAATTTTATTCAATGATATATGATATCAACTTGAGATGAATGCAAAATTTTGAGATGAATGAAAAAATGTTGAAGGTATGCATCCAGAATTGAATTTAAAAGATAGTTTTTGAGAAAATGTTTGATAGAAAAGCTTTTTGGCTATCTACTTCATCTTCTTCATACAAAAAATGTGAAGAAAAGGACGAAAGAAAGTAATTGAGTTCAAAATAAACTCTTCAAAAAGTTGGGTACATCAGTTACTGTTAGATACAAACTAAAAAAAAAGAAGCTACCCAAAAACATCTCTCCTAAAAATAACCCCCTTTTAATTTTTTTAGTCGTTTTGGCAATACATTGAAAATTGACAATTTTCACAGACATTATTTCAAAAGGGTGAACACTCACAAAAACTGAACAATCAATTTGGAAGATGCTGCACTATTTGGAGTTTCGGGTGAGTAGCGAGATTGAGAATTTCTCAATGCCTTTGCATCATGATAACGTAAATCATGTTTGAAGGTGGTTGACAATGTCAACCAATGTCATCAGTTCGGATTTCCATTGTCTGATATAATATAAATTGATTTGAAATCCCTGAAAAAAATGAATGATTAACCGAAAATAACAATTTTATTAAAACAAAAACTGAAATTACAAGGAATTAGCATACAAGCTACAACCAGAAAATGAAAAATTGAAATATTAATAACAGCTTTTATTAACTTACATGTTCAAGTTCGGCGAGTAATTTTAAATATTCATGAATGCTTGAAGAAGGAAAACTGTCACACTTCACAAAATACTATTGTGAATAGAATATGCGAGTTAACGAGACCATCTCGTTCGACAGTTCTTCGAGTCATTAAAATAGGGGATGTCATTGACCATGCAATGAAACGAAAACAAAGGAATAAAAAATTTGCAAACGTTGATGGTGCTACAAAAGATGTG